CCTCCTCCTCCTCCTCCTCCTCCTCCTCCTCCTCCTCCTCCTCCTCCTCCTCCTCCCGATGTTACAGTGGAGACCCACGCCAAGAATCAAGAAGGGAGGGCGAGGAAGTAGGAGGACGAGGTACGCAGAGACGCAGCAGGAGCCGGCGCGGCAGGATAGGGAGGGGCAGGGAGACCGGGGGAAGGCGGAGGAGAGGAAAGGAGGGGGAGGAGGAGGGGGAGGAGGAGGAGGAGGAGGAGGAGGAGGAGGAGGAGGCGGGAGGGAGGGAGAACGAGGAGGAGGAGAGGTGCCCTCGGTTTCTTCGGTTTCAGTGGTTTTGCCGTGGGCAGCGCGACGGTCCCACACCAAAAATCAAGGCACGCCTTGGGGTCTCAGGGTTGGGTTTGGGTTTCTTGTGGAAGGTTTCTTGCGGACTGGCCTCCAGTGTATCCTCGTGGAAGGTTTAAGTCGGGCATGTCCCTCGACAGCGAGGCGCTATCCTTGAGTCGGGCCTGTCCCTCTACAGGAGAAATATTCCAAAATAGTCCCAAAATAGTCAGGGGATGATCTTCTATTTTTTTGACGATGTTTGAGCAGTTTTTGAATGCTTTTGATGTTGTGTAGAAAATCTGCCTGTAGGGTGACATGCCCGAGTTAACGCTACCCCCCCCTGGACTTTGATCCGACTGGCCCGATCCGATATCGGTTGCGGCCAGCGCCCGATCCGGTTTGATTCTCGGGGAAACGTACGCCGCGAGGTCGCCAGAATTGGGGTTCCTCGACGCTTTTTGACGGGCCCATCCTGCATTTTGACGGCCGAGCTGGCGTGGGCTGTTTGCAGCGGGATTTCGCGCGAAGTTTCAGAGGTTGGGTTTTGTCATTTTCTTGACGGCCCTGTCAAGCCAGCCCGAGTACCCCGAACCCAAGTCTTACGCCTTACCGAGACACCGATGTTCCCACGATCCCATGCGGCACGATGCCTGCATGGTGCCGTTGTGCATTCTGGCACCACTAGCCCCTCTTCGATTCCGGCTCCGTGCCGCTGCGGCCAGACCCCACGCATGATCCGATCCGACCTGTAATCGATTCGACGCTGATCGGACGGGGCCAGGACGAGGATGAATCCGTTCCAGAGCGTTCTGGATCGCTCTCAGGGCGTTCCGCAACGCTCCGAGAAGGCCGCGGCGCCTGGGAAGTCCTCCAGAACCGCCGGATCTCGGAGAGCCTCGACCCGTCCTCGCCTGATTTGTGTTGTCCTCGTCCTGGCTTCGGCGCAGTTCCCAGACCCCCGACGTAATGATTTTTTCATTACGTCGACCCCCAAAGGTCCGGACCCTTTCCCCGTGACCGGCTGTGCATCCTGAGTCGTTTTTTGACACTCCCGAGGCCCGGTGAGGACCCCCCGAGGCCGAAAATTAGGAAAAACCTCCCGTCACGATTTTTTCATTGCTCGAGGGGGTCTGGGTAGTTGGTTGATCCTGCTCCCACCCCTGTGTTGGCCGCGAGGGGTGGGCACGCCTCTCCTCCACACCGGTTACCCTGGGGATCCCGGCGCTCCACGCGCCCCGAGAGCGGCGGGGCCCTCTCCGGCGGGCTCCTACGGCGGCAGCGTGGGCGTGAGCCAGCGCACGGCGCAGCACCCGTGGCTGCCGGGGGCGGCCCAACCCCGTCTGCACGTGCCCTCGGCGTCGCTCGGGCGTCTGGAGGGGGAGGGGGGGAAGAGGGGGAGGAGGAGGAGGAGGAGGAGGAGGAGGAGGAGGAGGAGGAGGAGGAGGAAGGAGGAGGAGGAGGAGGAGTAGGAGGAGAACGAGGAGAACGAGGAGGGAGAAAACGAGGAGGAGGAGGAGGAGGAGGAGGAGGAAAACGGAAGGGCGAGAGGGAGAAGATGAGGATGAGGAGGGGGGGGAGGAGGAGGAGGAGGAGGAGGAGGAGGAGGAGGAGGAGGAGGCTTTTTTTAGAGGGGGGGGGCGAGGGCCATCGAGGAGCATCCTGGATCGCCCGGCAGAGAGAGAGCACGCCACGGAGCCGCAGAGGATGCCCCGGGCGGGAGGGGGGGCGCCCGAGCGGCGGCCACGTGCCGGTCTCCTCGTGCTCGCCCTCCAGAGCAGGGGAGCGGGGCGAGGAGGAGTCAGGAGCACACAGACACAACGAATCGCCGATTCTCAGGAAAATATGCAAGAATGTGGGACGTGTGGGGGAGGACAACAAAAAAACCCAAATGCAGGAAAACATGAGGACTGTGTTTATTTGTGTGCACTTGTTTGTGTGTCCTTGGGCCCCTTCAAGGAGTTCTTCTGAGGAGAACCCTGGAGTCAAGCAGTGGCGAAGCGTCCTGGCTCGCCTATAGTCCTGCCAAGCAATGTTCTAAGCACCTCTTGCGGTTCCCACGGGATGCTCTCTAGAACAGTTCTGGCGGAGTCCGTCTTGTTTTATCACATCGGGTTTATGTTCTAAGAACATTGTTTTTGTTATTGGAACATTTTTGGGTTCTACGAACATTGCGTGGTAGGACTATAGGAATGCCGGGACGGTCGGTCCCTGCTCAACGGAGGCCTCGCGCGGCACGTGATAGTTGTATTACCCAGTCCACACAGCTCCGTGAACTATGGCTCGACGCTCGCGCGGCGATGCTCCGGCGTCAGTCCGGCGTAAAGCCAAGGCAATTCCGACGTAGTCCGACGTGACCCCGACGGAAATCCGACCAGGATCCGACGTACATCGGGTCACAAGTTGCTGCGCGAGGCCTCCAGGCTTCGAGAGCAGGGGAGCAGGGGGAGAGGGAGAAGGAGGAGGAGGGGGAGGAGGAGGAGGAGGAGGAGGAGGAGGAGGAGGAGGAGGAGGAGGAGGGAGGGAGAGGAGGCCGATGCTTGCGCAGCCCGTGTGCTCGGAAGGGGGACAGTCGGGCTTGTGGGCGGGAAAGCGGTCCTCCTCCTTCTCCTCCTCCCTTTTCCTCCTCCTCCTCCTCCTCCTCCATCTCCTCATTCTCCTCCTCTTCCTCCTCCTCCCCCTCCTCCTCCTCCACCTCCTCCTCCTCCTCCTCCCTCTCCTCCTCCTCGTGCTCCTCCTCCTCTTTCTCGTTCTCCTCATCATCATCACCCTCCTCCTCCCAGGGAAGCGCAAGCATGGACTGAGGCGAGCGGGTTAGCGACGGGCCCCGCTTCCACACGAAACATCGGCGCGGTGCGTCGCCAAACCAGGCCGCAGTGGCCTCGTGTTACCATCGACGTAGCTGCTGCACAGTCTAGTCCGCGCGGTCAGCAGCATGCATTGAGCAAGCACCAAGTGATACCCAGTATTGCAAAGGAGCCGCCCTCAATCGATGTAGACGTTGAAGACGTTTCACACGAACGTGCGTGACGTAGGAGCGGTGGTCACATTTTGGAACGTGGCAGACGGCATCCTCCCAGCTGCCGGGGACCTCTCAGACGAATGTGCGCGGCGCCCATGCGATGGCCGCATTTTGAAGATGGGCCGCCTTCAATCGTTGCATCTGCTGCTGGGCACTTTGACAACGAAGTTGCGCGGTGCTGGGCAGAACCACTTTTTGTGTGCCACCCGCCTTCCATTTGCTTGGCATCGCTCGGACGTGTGCGTTTTTTTTCCTCGGCGAGGACCATCGAGGAGCATCCTTGATCATTTGGCAAAAAAACACGCACGAAACCGAGAAAAAAAACACAGGGAATGGACGTCCGAGCGATGGCGAGTTTGGCAGTTGTCGCACACGTCAGGCTTCATGGTCGTGAGGTGTCAGTCTCGGGCGAAACGCCCAGCCCGCCCTGCCAACACGCCCGGCAGTGCGACGACGAGGACTTCTATTCAAGGAGAGGGGCCGAGGATGTAGAGGGCGGGGGAGAGGAGGAGAAGAACGAGGCGGATGAGGAGGGCAAGGTGGAGAAAGCCGGGGGGAATCTTCCGAGGGGCCCCAGAGATTGGGCGGAAGCGCGGCAGATGTCCCGGGGGCGTCGCCCTGGCGGTCGGAGCTTTCCGTTTTGTGTTATTCGCCGATCCCCAGAAGAGGGCATGTGCGGTTTCCGAGTTCGTGTGTGTCGTTTGCCACGCCTCGCCTTGCTGCTTGCATGCAGGTGTTGCTGGTTCGTCCTCTCCTCGTGCTCCGTGTCTGCTGCGGGGCCTCTTGGAGGCTCACCGTGCGCCCTCGTGACGCTTTCTCAAGGCTCCTGGGGGCTTTGTGGGGCCCTGTGGCGGCCTCTGGGAGTCATGTTGGGGGTCTTGGGAGCCCATTCCCACCGTGGGCCTCTCTGGGTCCCCTCTTGCAAACTCTTGAGGGCTTTTGTTGCCGACTTGGGACCCTCTTGGCCCTTGGCCCGTCTGGGGGCTCTCGTGAGAGTCTTGAGCCGTCTCTGTGTGATGCCGGGATCTCTTGGGCTGTCTTTGGCCACCTGGGGAGGCTGGCTCCTCGCGTGATTTTGGTGTTGCAGGCTCCAGAAATGCGAGATCACGAAACTTCATTCAAAGCCCTAAGCAAAAGCGGGTTGTGCTTCTTGAGGCCCTCGTGAGGGTCCTTGTGCTGCCCTCGTTTGGCGTGTCGGGCCGTCTGGAGGCTATTTTTTAGTCGGGCCTGTCCCTCTACAGGGGGAATCTTCCAAAACAGTACTGAAACAGTTTTGGGGCAACTTTTTTTAGAATGGTTTTGCTGTTTGTGGGCATTGGTATTTTTAATGTTTTGCCCAAAGTCCCCCTGTTGGGGGACAGGCCCGACGTCAGGCTATCTTGGGTCTTCTTGAGGCCGCTCTGGCGCGCTGGGGCCCTTCGGGCGCCAGCCTAAAAGAGCATCCCCCGGGGCACCTGTGAGGCCACGGAGACTGGACGTTCGGAGGCTTCGGAGACCCCTGGGGTCCCTTACACAAGATTTAAGTCGGGCCTGTCCCGCTACAGGAGGAATCTTCAAACATAGTTGAAACAATTGTCAGGGGAGGATTGTGTTTGTATGTGTTGGCCATTTGGGGGCATTTTTTAGTATTTCTATTTTTCGTCGACACTCCCCCTGTAGGGGGACACGCCCGACTTACACTTTGTCGGAGGGGGAAAAGGTGGAGGGGGGCAGGTCTTCTTGAGGCCTCGCTGGCGTGCTGGAACCCTTCGGGAGCCACGTTAGAACGCATCCCGGGCCTCTGGGAGGCCGCGGAGTGTGGACTCTTGGAGGCGTCGGAGACCCCGGGGGTCCCTGGAACAAGATTCAGGAGGAGAAGAATCACAGGCACAATTACTCGCCGACTCCTAGGAAAATATATAGTAAAATATGGGAAGTGAGGGGGACGACAACCCAGAACATGTGGGACAATATGGGGAATCCTGCTATGTGTGTGTGTATGTTGTGTGTGTGTGTGTCCTTGGGTCCCTTAAGCAAGATGTTGGACCTTGGCGGAGGGGGAAAGGTGCAAGGGGACAGCCAAGTGTCTCACACGCCTTGCAATATGGACAGTGCAGCACAAGGCAACATTTGTGTGTTTCATGTCTTGATCACCAGTCTCGCGTTGCTTGCTTTTAACGCTACATCTACGCAGTTGGTTTCCCAGCCTCTTTTGCGCGCCGTCTCTCCACCACCTTACCGGATGTCCAACGCCTGGTATTCCCGGATGCGTGGAGTTCTGGAGTCCTTGACCCCGTCGTCGAGTGTATCTCTTTGCCCCGGGCTCGTTTCTTTTGTCCGTGGGCCAGAAGTGTGCCTCGGGAGTCGGGGGCGGAAAAGAGAGGGGTGATGACTAGGGGGGGGTGGATATCATGGCGGGGGGCATGATATGTCCCCAGATGTTATGGCGCCTCTTCTTATTTCATTACGTCCCTGGCCCCCCCGCTGGGCAGCGCACATTCCGCCGGTCATGATTTGCACCCCCCCCTCTTGGACACCCCCTCTTGGCCGCTCCCGAGGGAGGGCCCGCCTCACAGAATATGGCCGCGGCTCTCACAGTTCACCGGCGGTCCAGTTGCGTTGCTGCCTCTTCCGTGCCCTCGTCGGCAGGCTTCGCCGCGTGCCGCTCGGAATCCTTCGGAGGGAGAGGTGGCACGGGAGGGGCTGTCACCGGAGGAGGAGGGGGAGGAGGAGGAGGAGGAGGAGGAGGAGGAGGAGAGGAGGAGGAGGAGGAGGAGGAGGAGAAGGAGGAGGAGGGTGAGGAGGAGGGGGAGGAGGAGGAGGGCGGAGGAGGAGGATGAGGAGGAAGGCGAGGAGGAGGAGGAGGAGGAGGAGGAGGAGGAGGAGGAGGAGGAGGAGGAAGAGGAGGATGGGGATGAGAGTTGGAGAAGGAGCAGGAGGAGGGCTGGAGGAGGAAAAAGAGAATTCGGGGAGGAATGAGAAGAAGGGATGACGACAATGGCGGTGGTGGTGGGAAACATGCTGATGATGCTGCTGATGATGATGGTGGTGCTGATGCTGATGATGCTCTCCATGATGATGCTGATGATGACGACGATGATGATGATGGTGATGCTGATGATGCTTATGGTTAAATTATGATGATGATAATGATGATGATGATGCTCATGCTGATGCTGAGAATGATGTTCGTTATGCTTATGGCGATGATGGTAATGATGATGGTACATATGATGCTGATGATGACGATGATGCTGGTCATGTAGATGTTGTTGCTGATTCTGATAATGATGATGCTGCTTCTGATGATGATGATAATGATGATGATGATCATGATAATAGTGTTGATGATGCTGCTGATAAGTATGCTAATAAGGATGATGATGCTGATGATGATGATGCGTCTGATGATGATGATGATAATAATGATGATGATGCAGATGGTGATGATGGATTTGATGGTTACTGCTTATGGTGATGGGTAGTACTGATGATGATGATGCTGATGATGATGATGATGAGAAAGGCTGGGTGTGATGATTGATGGTTATTACTATTATGGTTATGATTATAGTTATGGTTATGGCTACAGGAGATGAAGATGGTTATGCTGGGGATGATGGTGGTTATGGTTTTGGTTATGGTTACAGGATAGATGAGTGATGATGAAGGCTGGGGATGATGATGGTGATGGTAATTACTATTATGGTGGTGGTTATGTAAAAGAGGGAGGAGGACGAGGCGGATAAGGAGCACGACGAGGACGAGGTGGATGAGGGGGAGGGGTGCCGTCCAAACGTAGGTCAGGATGAAACAAACTGGTGGCGACTTCCGTGGGCACTATATTAAGCAAATATACATCGCATGTCTGGGTCGACGACGCTTCGGATATATTCCGAAGGCTTGTGTCCTGGGTTATTCAGCTCGTCGTCTCTGGACTCACCCCGCGGAGTCATTCGTCTTCAGGAGGAAAAATAGACCTTCCCCCTTAATCGTCGAGTCCACCCAGAAAATATTGGAAACTATGCGAAGCGGGGGGGAGATAAACATCGAGAGAATATGGACTCATATGGGGAATCCTGGAACTGGTGCCTGTTTGTTTGTGTACCCCTTCGGTCTTGTCTTATGATGTTCCAATCAATTGTAGCCTTGACCACCAGCGATACTTTCGAGCACCAGGAACGTATCGAAACTGCAGTTTTGTTTACGCGTCGGGCCGTGGCAAGCTATATTCGTTCAGCATTTCGCCAGCGTGTCGGGAAAACATTGTCACTGGGGAAACAATGAGGTACCGATACCGCTACTCCCCGGACCTCTCCCGGGGTGCGTTCCGACCAGAATGTCGAGGCGAATTCAGCGGTGGCGACGAGGGCAGGGCCGCCCAGAAGGCCCCCCGAAGGGGAAAACGAGGCGAGCGTAGCGGTATGGGTACCGTTTCTTCCTGTGCGCTACGATACTTGCGGGGTGCTCGAGATCATTTCGGAAATTGGAGCATATACATTACCACCGGCGGGTTGCTCGAGATTATTTCGGAAATGAGAGTCGGGGACAACGTCGGGGTGGTGTTGTGTATATTTATGTCCCAGTTTTCCCAGGGAGACAAATCACAAATGTATACACCAGGATCCCGTACACACCAGGAGCCGCTTTCGTGTGCGAATTTCTGTGCGGGGCCGGCAGAAAGCGTCGGTGTATAGAGTTCGGCTCCTTATCAGTGCTGGGAGGTGGTCCTCAAATTCTCGTCGCTCGGTTGGCGCCCTCCTGGCCTTCGGGGCCGCCGCGGCCCGGAGGTCCTCATCTTCCTGCTCCTCCTCCTCCTCGTCCTCCGCACGACGGCCTCCTCCTCCTCCTCCTCCTCCTCCGCCCCCTCCCCCTTCCCCTCCTCCCTCCCCCTCCTCCTCCCTCCTCCTCCTCCTCCTCCTCCTCCTCCTCCTCCTCCTCCTCCTCCTCCTCCTCCTCCTCCTCCTCCTCCTCCTCCTCCTCCTCCTCCTCCTCCTCCTCCTCCTCCTCCTCCTCCTCCTCCTCCTCCTCCCAAGATCAGGGGCTTCCGAGCGACCGCTGCCATTTGGTTTTGGCTCCCTGGTTGCTAGGCATGCCCTTCCCTCCGCGTTGCCGTCGCGATCTTGCGACACCCCGGTTGGGCGAGTTTGCTTCTGGAGTTCCATGATTCTGGTCAGGCGCGCCCCACGGGTGACTAAGAGGGGGAGAAGTCAGGCTCGGCGATTTTCTTTTTCCTCAGCAGTACTTTTTGGCGGTGCAGGCCACGTGCGGTGTTGTTTTACTTCGCCCATGTCGCTTTCGTGATGGCAAGGTGCAGGCTGGGCATTTTGTATCCCTTCCTACTGTTCTTCAGCACGGCCCGTCCCAGTCGGCAGGCGAGAGGACGTGCCGCGGGCCTCGTGCCCTTCAAATCGTCCCCCTGTCGGCTGGGCGTATCCCGTCATCTTTTTGTTCAGCCTGGTTGGATGGTATTGTTTATCGCTGTCGGCACAACCCACCTTACAGTCAAGTGGAGGAACATGAGTTTGTTCGCTGTCTATGTGGGAAGCTTTGTGTTCAGTTTGCCTTTGTGTTTTGGTCTGGGCGCATGCATTTTGAGAGATATGTGCAGGGTAGTTTACGGCCTGGCACTGTTCAGGTTGTGCTGGCAGGCTGGTCAGGTGTTCTGGAACCATCGTCGCGTACTGTTTGTGGCGCGCAGGTGCAAGTCCATGTTGAGTCCCTTCAGCATCACGATGAAGGGGGATGTCTCTCGTTTGCTTTTGTCTGGCCATTCATTGGGCTTTTTGGTCACGATGTCTTCTTGTGTTGGTGGGCATGGCAATGGGGTGAACATGTGATTCGTGAGGTGGCACGGTGTCCCGCAGCAGGTAATTGAAGGTCCTTTTCGTATGCCCGACTCGCATCGTTTGTGCATGCACGCGCGTGTCTGTCAGTCACCTCGATGTATAAGAGTCTCATGCTTGTAACCGACATGGTCGCAATATCCATAGCTCCATAGCTCCTCCTCCTCCTCCTCCTCCTCCTCCTCCTCCTCCTCCTCCTCCTCCTCCCCCTCCCCCTCCCCCGCCTCCTCCTCCTCGGGGAGGCTGTCCAGAGGGGCGGGCCCCGGCCGAGCGCCCCGCGAGGCTGACGCGGCTGCTGGCAGGGGCGCTGTGCGCGGAGATGCCGGAGCCGCCAGCACGCGCGCGCTGGGGGCGAAGGGGACGACGCTTCGTCGTCGTCCTCGTCGTCGTCGTCATCGGAGGAGGAGGCGCAGGAGGAAGAAGAGGAGGAGGAGGAGGAGGAGCATGAGGATGAGGAAGGAACGGAAGGAGGAAAACGAGGAGGAGGAGGAGGAGGAGGAGGAGGAGGAGGAGGAGGAGGAACTGTGGGAAGAGAGCAAGTAGTCCTGCCAGCCTGGGCGCGTTGCGCGGATGTCTCCAAGTTCATCAACTTGCCTGGAGCTTCTGCACATAACCTCAGGATGTTTTGATCCCCCCACGTGGCACTCGGCGGTGATTAGAGCTGGTCCTAAGACTCCTCCTCCTCCACCTCCTGCTCCTGCTCCTCCTCCTCCTCCTTCTCCTCCTCCTCCCCCTCCTCCTCCTCCTCCTCCTCCTCCTCCTCCTCCTCCTCCTCCTCCCCCCTTTCCCCTCCTCCCCCCCCCTCAATCGTAATCGTAGCTGTCTTTGTCGTTGTTGCGCGGCGGGTGCCGCGGAAAAAAAATAGTTCCTCTCTGTTGGTGGGACCCTAGTCCTTCAACAAGGCCGCCGAAAAAAAGTAATTAGTTACCACCTATTGGGGGGGTTCTAAAGACTTTTCGCGGTTACCCACATCGCTACTTCTTGCCTCGTTCTCTCCTTTTGGGGTCTCCAGGGAAGCTTTCGTCGCCACCGCTGGATTCGCCTCGAAACTCTGGTCAGAGCGCACCCCGGGAGAGGTCCAGGGAGTAGCGGTTTGGGTACCTTTTGGTTGCCCCAGTTCGGGCATTGAGGGAACGCTCACCCAGACTAGTCAGTCGACCGAGGAAATCTAAGCGGGCCCACTCGACGTTGGCATACGAGTGTGCTGGTGCAGTCCCCGGGTGGTTTCGCTAATCGACGTGCGCATCCCCGGATACATTTGGTCGTTCTTGGACGTCGATTCGTGATTCCGCCCAGGTGCATTCGAATTGCGTTGCCGCGCGTTGCGCACACCCGCGGAGTGCTCCCGCAGCCTCAGCTAGAGGGTGTTCTGCTCAAGGGGGCTCTGCCAACCCCGAATGGCCGGGCCTGGGATCCAAGTGAGAGGGAGCAGGTCGGGTATAGCCAGGCTCGGTTCAGGGAAGCCAGTTGGTTAGTGATTGGGCCCCGAAGCCCAAAATATGGGCTTGAATCGCTAAACCAGGCATGCCGTAGCCGGTGCTTTTCGGGTGACGGGCACTCCAGGTCAGCGGAGTGACACGGGGGGCTGGGCGTCCCCGGTACAGATCACGAAACCAGGTTCCACTAAACCCAGTCCTGCCATCTCAGGAGGGAAGAAAACACAGACACGATGAATCGTCGATCCAACAGAAAGTATTGGAAAATGTGGTGAGGGGGGGGGAAGACAAGAGCCCAGAAAACATGGGAAGATAGGGGGAATCCTGTTATTTATGTGTACTTCTGTGTGTGTGTGTACTTCTGTGTGTGTGTTTGTGTGTGTATGTGTATGTGTGTGTGTGTGTGTGTTTGTGTGTCCCAGGGTCCCCTCACCATCGCCCGAGCAGACGCGGGGGCGCGTCCCCGGCACGGATTCACCAAAGCGGGTGCCACCCCGCTCGGCCCCTCCATCGCCCGGGCAGGCCTGTGCTCAGAGTTCTGTCGGGCGTGCCCCCCTACAGGGGGATTTTCGACGAGGAAAAAAAGATACCCCAAACATACCCCCCAAAGGTCAGAAAATACTCAAAGAATAGTCCCCAAGCTATCTTTGAACTATTTTGGGATGATTTTGGGGGTCTTTTCTATTTTTCGTCGAAGATTCAGCGAGCGAAGAACGGAATCAAATAAACTGTTTCGCTGTTGGGGGCGCCTGCCCCTGGGCGGCTCGAAAGTTTATACCCCTATGGTGCCACCGTAAGGGTACAAACTTTCCAGCCGCCCAGGGGCAGGCGCCCCCGACAGCGAAAAAGTGTATCGTATACCGCTCTTCGCCAGTTTAAAAAATCCCCCTGTAGGGGGACAGGCCCGATATGAGCTCCGAGGGCCGCGGGGCTCCTCCGAGGGACAGGCCCGATATAAGCTCGAGGAGCATCTTTGATCATCTAGCGGAAAGAGCACGCGCGAAATCCAAAAATGCACGGGGAAGGGACGTCCGAGCGATGGCGAGGAGCAGGCCTGTGCTCCGAGGGCCGCGGGGCTCCTCCGAGGGCCTCGGGCCTCCTCCGGGGGGGCCCGCCGCGGCCGGCCACGGGGGCAGGCCTGGCGGGGGCCTCCCGGAATGGCTCGCGGGGGGGGCCTCTTACGGGAGGGCCCGCCCCCTCTCTCCCTCTTTGGGGTCGGGCGTGGCCTCTACGGGCGGAGGACCTTGAGCTTCCAGGAGGGCTAAAAAATAGCACCCGACCCAAAAACCTATCCCAGAGCTATGCTACGTCTCGGTTTCAGGCTGTTTCGTTCAGTGTTTTAGGTTTTTAGGTCTCCCGTGCTAAAAAACAGCTCTCTGGAAGGTCAGGGGAGTGTGGGAAAAGTGGTCAGAAGCAGCGTGGGGACGATGTGTCTGGCTAGGGGAACCAAACATTCACATGAACATAACAACTCGGAGGTCCGCCCCCTCTCCCTCTTGTTGGGTCGGGCGTGCCCTCCTGCGGGCGGAGTGTGGCTACCAGCCTGGAACGTATCCCTATCCCTATACTGGGCATCGCCTCATCACGACGGCGATCTTGGGTATACTCCCTCCGTCTCTGAGGGTGTATCCCTGAGATTGTCCTCGCCTTTTGGCGTGCCGATCTCAGGGATGGGGATACGTTCGAGGCTGGTAGTATGGGAAAAGTTGTCAAAAGCAGTGTGGGGAGGAGTTGTCTGGTTAGGGGGACAAGAAGTGTCACAAACATAGAAACTCGGAGGTCCGCGCGGACCTCCGAGTTGTTATGTTAATGTCACTTGTTGTTCCCCATACTGGTAGTCTGGGTCATGTTTGGAAGTTGCTCGTCTATTTTGCAGCTTTCGCCCCAAATGCGCCTGCGGGAGGACGTGCCCGACCCAACTCTCCCTCCCCCCTCGGCGCACCTGCGACAGCAGGAGGAGCAGTCTCCCAACGGCGCCCTCTCATCCTCGCATCCTCTGCGCTTTCCTGCCTGCCTGTGTCCAGGAGGATCCAGCCCAGGGCTGGAGCTAAACGGTGCTTCGGCGATCTCGAGAACCGTGTTCGTTTCGATTGCGTCTCGCGGCAGAGGCAGAGCGAGGACAGAACGAAGGAGCGCGATCCTAAAACGAAAAACAGGGTCCCGCATGCACCGGAACCCCTTGCCTGTGCAAACTTCGGTGCGGGGCCAGAAAAGGGTCGGTGCATAGCGTTCGGGTCCTTACGACCCTGAGGTCCGATGTTGCAACAACCATTTGTAACATCGCGACAAATCACGAGCGGAGCCCCAGATCCCATCTTGCGGCGCCATTTTTCGAGCCGCGGACCGATCCGCAAGGGTCCCGGGGCTGGAGCCTGCGCGAAAGCATCCATGGCGACAACGACTGCAGCGCCAGGAGCTCATGGGAGAGAGGCTTCGGCCTGGGCGTGCAGGGTTCGGGCTGACCCGGGAGGGGGTCCAGCGACAAGGGGGGGGGGGGGCAATTGATTTCGTGCAATAGATCCATGGGGTTGCAGTGCATTTGGGGGCGTGCAGTACCATGTCGGGGAGCGGGTGTAGGGCTCTATTTTCGCGTGAAGCACACAGGACTTGCAGCACAAATGCAGTACAGTTCTCCAGCGCAGTGCATTTGCAAGACACTTGCCCACTCCTCCTCCTCCTCCTCCTCCTCCTCCTCCTCCTCCTCCTCCTCATCCTCCTCCTCGTCCTCCTCGTCCCCTTCCTCTTCCTCTCCTCATCCTTCCCCTTCTGCCTCATCGCCTTCCTCCTCCCCTGCCTCCTCCTTCTCCTCCTCCTCCTCCTCCTCCTCTTCCTTACTATCTCCTCCTCCTCCTCCTCCTCCTCCTCCTCCTCCTCCTTCCGGCCTGGAGGAGGAGGAAGAGGAGGAGGAGTAGGAGGAGGAGGAGGAGGTTCCCCGACGCCCCTCTGCTGCCCCTCGCCGCTTCCACCGTCCTCTTGCATCATGTCGTCGCCGTGTCACCAGCCGCAGCTTCCCAGACTGGAGCGATGGCTCTAGTTCCTCACATTTGCGTAGCGCTTCGGCGTGTTGCCGATGATCCAGAGGCGGGCGGATAGTGAACATTGGTTGCGCAGGGTATGTGCTAGGAGGAGGAGGAGGAGGAGGGAGGAGGAGGAGGAGGGAGGAGGGAGGAGGAGGAGGAGGAGGAGGAGGAGGAGGAGGAGGAGGAGGAGGAGGAGAACAGGTCGCCTAAGCCCTTCGGAGAAACCCTCCACAGGTGGGGGGGGCGGCTGAGGAGGCTCGCGTGATGAAGCCACGACGTCGGGGGTCTGAGGAGGAGCCCCTCTGTTCGGTCGCAAGTCCTGGGGGCCTTGTTTACCCTCGCAATTCTGTCTTCAGCGTCGATCAGCGTCGATCGGTGCCTGGAAGACGATGAGATAGCGCCGATTGAGCGTCAGTTAGCATCGACTAGCATCGATTCAGCGTCGAAGTAGCGTCGACTAGTGTCGATTCGCAAGAGCCGGCAAGATGGTATGGGAGGTTCCCATGAGTTGCCACCGAACCTTTGGCACGGTATTGGACCATTTGGGGCCACGTGCTTGAGCCCGGTCGGGGCCTTGTTCGGGGCTGGCTCGGGGCTACCTTGCGGTCATCCTGCAGCCTGCCCCTTGTGGTCACCGGCAAATGGGTCCTCTTAAAGGGTCCTTTTGGA